AGCTCTTTCAGTTTTGATGATAGGGTGTCAATTTTAGATCTCTCCTTTCTTCTCATGTGGGCACTGATTGCTACATATTTTCCTCTAGAGACTGCTTTAAATGTGTCCCAGAGATTCTGGTATGTTGTGTCTTCATTCTTGTTGGTTTCGAAGAACGTCTTTATTTCTGCCTTAATTTCATTGTTTACCCAGTCAACATTCAAGAGCAAGTTGTTGAGTTTCCATGAGGCTGTGCGGTTCTGAGTTAGTTTCTGAATTCTGAGTTCTAACTTGATTGCACTGTGGTCTGAGAGACTGTTTGTTGTGATTTCCGTTCTTTTGCATTTGCTGAGGAGTAATTTGCTTCCAATTATGTGGTCAATTTTAGAGTAGGCGTGATGTGGTGCTGAGAAGAATGTATATTCTGTGGATTTGGGGTGGAGAGTTCTGTAAATGTCTATTAGGTTTGCTTGGTCCAGGTCTGAGTTCAAGTCCTGGATATCCTTGTTAATTTTCTGTCTAGTTGATCTGTCTAATATTGACAATGGGGTGTTAAAGTCTCCCACTATAATTGTATGGGAGTCTAAGTCTCTTTGTAAGTCATTAACATCTTGCATTATGTATCTGGGTCCGCCTGAAACGGGCGACAAAACAGAAAGGATCGTTAGCTCTTCTTATTGCATTGATCCTTTTACCATTATGTAGTGTCCTTTTTGTCTCTTTTGATCTTTGTTGCTTTAAAGTCTATTTTATCAGAGACAAGAATTGCAACTCCTGCTTTTTTTTACTCTCCATTTGCTTGGTAAATCTTCCTCCATTTCTTTACTTTGAGCCTTTGTGTATCCTTGCATGTGAGATGGGTTTGCTGGATACAGCACACTGACGGGTTTTGTCTTTTTATCCAATTTGCCAGTCTGTGTCTTTGGATTAGGACATTTAGTCCATTTACTTTTAGGGTTAATGTTGTTATGTGTGAATTTGATACTGCCATTTTAATGCTAGCTGGCTGTTTTGCTTATTAGTTGATATAAATTCTTCATTGTGTTGATGCTGTTTACCATTTGGTTTGTTTTTGGAGTGGCTGGTACTGGTTGTTCCTTTCTATGTGTAGAGCCTCTTTCAGAGCTCTTGTAAAGCAGGCTTGGTGGTGATGAAATCTCTGAGTACTTGCTTGTTCGCAAAGGATTTTATTTTTTCCTTCACTTATGAAGCTTAGTTTGGCTGGATATGTAATTATGGGTTGAAAGTTATCTTCTTTTAGGATGTTGAATATTAGCCCCACTCTCTTCTTTCTTGTAGGGTTTCTGCTGAGAGATCTGCTGTGAGTCTGATGGGCTTCCCTTTGTGTGTAACCTGACCTTTCTCTCTGGCTGCGCTTAGCATTTTCTCCTTCATTTCAACCTTGGTGAATCTGAGGATTATGTGCCTTGGGGTTGCTCTTCTTGACGAATATCTTTGTGCTGTTCTCTCTATTTCCTGGACTTGAATATTGGCCTGCCTTGCTAGGTTGGGGAAGTTTTCCTGGATAATATCCTGAAGAGTATTTTCCAGCTTGGATTCATTCTCTTCGTCACATTCAGGTACACCTATCAAACGTAGATTAGGTCTTTTCACATAGTCCCACATTTCTTGGAGACTTTGTTCATTCCTTTTTACCCCTTTTTCTCTAATCTAGCCTTCTCGTTTTATTTCATTGAGTTGATCTTCGACCTTTGATATCCTTTCTTCTGCTTGGTCAATTCGGCTGTTGAAACTTGTGCATGCTTCATGAAGTTCTCGTGTTGTGTTTTAGCTCCATCAATTCACTTATATTCCTTTCCATGTTGTCCATTCTCGTTAGCATTTCACCAAATCTTTTTTCCAGGTTCTTAGTTTCTTTGCATTGGGTTAGAACATGTTCTTTTAGCTCACGGAAGTTCCTTATTACCCACCTTCTGAAGTCTGATTCTGCCATTTCATCACACTCATTCTCTATCCAATCTTGTTCCCTTGCTGGTAAGGAGTTGTGAACCCTTGCAGGAGGAGAGGTGTTCTGGTTTCGGGTGTTTTCATCCTTTTTGCGCTGGTTTCTTCCCATCTTTGTGGGTTTATCCACCTGTCGTCTTTGTAGTTGCTGACTTTCAGATTGGGTCTCTGAGTGGACGTCCAATTTGTTGATAATGAAGTTATTTCTGTTTCTTAGTTTTCCTTCTAACAGTTGGCCCCTCTGCTGTAGGGCTGCTGAGGTCCACTCCAGGCCCTGCTTGCCTGGGGATCACCTGCAGCAGCTGCAGAACAGTAACGATTGCTACCAGTTTCTTTTTCTGCTATCTTTGTCCCAGAAGGATACCCGCTAATGTCAGTCTGATCTCTCCTTTATGAGGTGACTCTGGATATATGGGGGTCAGGGAGCTGCTTGAAGAGACAGTCTGTCCTTTACATGAGCTCATGTGCTGAGTTGTAAGCTCCATTTTTCATTCAGGGCTGCTGGACAGGTGCGTTTGGGTCTGCTGCAGTAGAACTCATGAACACTTTTTTTTTCCCCAGGTGCTCTGTCCCAGGGAGTTAGGGCATTATTTCTGAGTTTCCATTGTGCTGCTGCCTTTTTTTTTCCCCCCAGGGCTGCCCTGCACAGCAATGAGGCAGCCTAGTCACTGTCCGCCTGCAGAGGCTTTGCCGAACTGCTGTGGGCTCCACCCAGCTGTTGTGTGAACTTCCCTGCAGTCCTGTTTATATGGGTGTAGTTAGAACTGTCTCAGCTTTGGTGGCCCACCTCTGTAATGGCGGACTCTCACTGTAATGGCAGGTTGCCTTGGCAATGGCAGGCTGCCTCAGCAATGGTGGACGCCCCTCCACCACAGAGCTAGACCGTCCTGGGTTCAGCTGTGCTTGCTGTCAAACTCTCAATCCAAAGAGTTTCTGATTGCTCTGATCACCTGGCTCCTTGCCTCAGAAGCTTTTGTTTTTTAGTTGAATGGTTGACTCTCCCAGGTGTTTCAGTAGCCTGTTGAAAAGGCGCCGGGGTCTATGTGATTTCCCCTATGGTGACTCACTGCAATGCTGCTGAGATTCGTGGGGCTTTTTTGTTTGTTTGTTTTTGCCCGGGAATCTCCTGGCCTGGCTCCCTGTTTCAAACCCCCTGTTAGTCAGATGAATTGGTGACTGCGCCTTCCCAGGGCTCCAATTGCCAGCTAAGAGGGCACCCGGACCAGTGTATTTTGTATGGAGAACTGCTGTGCGGGGGCCCCACAAAGCAGCCACGCAGGCCAAAACAGCCACAGTGACCGAAATCGCTGTGCTGCGCGCTGGCGACCCATGGGGCTTCTCCCCCTGGGAATCTCCTGGTCTGTGGGCAATAAAAATCCATCTGAAAATGTGGCATCCACTCACACTCTGTGCTTTCACTGGGAGCTGCAATCCTGCACTGTTCCTAAACAGCCATCTTGGATCCGGATTTGGTATTTTCTTCTACTCATTTTGGTTTGCTCTTCCTTTTCTATTCTTTCAGATGCATCATTAGATTATTTGAAGCTTTTCCTCTTTTTTGATGTAGGCATTTATAGCTAGATACTTCTCTATTAATACTGCTTTTGCTATATCCCATAGGTTTTAGTATGTTGTGTTTCCATCATCATTTGTTTCAAGAAAATTTTCAGTTTCCTTCTTAATTTCTTCAGTGACCCTCTGGTCCTTCAGGAGCATATTGTTTAATTTCCATGTATTTGTAAATTCTTCTTGTTACTAATTTCTAATTTTATTCCATTGTGGTCATAGTCAATGCTTTATATTATTTCAGTTGTTTTTGAATGTTTTACAACTTGTTATGTGACCTAACATATGGTCTATACTTGAGAGTTATCTATGTGATTAGGAAAATAATGTGTATTCTGCAATTTTGGATGAAATTTTCTATAAATATCTGTTAGATCTATTTGGTCTATCGTGCAGATTAAGCCTCATGTTTCTTTGTTGATTTTTTGGGAGACCTGTCCAATGCTGAAAGTGTGGTGTTGAAATCTCCAACTGTTATTGTATTGGGGCCTATCTCTCTCTTTACCTCTAATAATATTTGTTTTATATATCTGGGTACTTCATTGTTATATTTTCTTGCTGAATTGAGGCATTTATCATCATACAGTGACTTTCTTTGTCTATTATTTTGTTTTTTGTCTTGAAATCCATTTTGTCTGATGTTAAGTATAGCTATTCCTATTCTTTTTTGGCCTCCATTTGCAAGGAATATCTTTTTCAATTCCTTTATTTGTAGCCTATGTGTGTTTTTATTGGTAAAGTGTGTTTCTTGGCAACAGATTATTGAGTCTTTTTTTTAATCCAAACTTTTGATTGGAGATTTAGTCCATTTATTTTCAAAGCTACTATTGATAAATAAGGACTTACTCCTGCCATTTTATTTTTTGTTTTCTGGTTGTTTTGTGTTCTTCTCTTCTTTTCTTTTTTTTTTTTTTTTCCTTTCTATCTTCCAGTTTCAACAACTTGAAACTGTTTACATAAACAAACAAAAAGAAAGCTAATAAAAACTTTAACTTCCTCCCCCCTTTAACTTCATCTCCCTGCTTTTTAACTTTTTGCTCTTTGTATTTATATCTTATTTTACTGTCAACATCTTGAAAAGTTGTTATTATTTTTGAGTGGTTCATTGTTAGTCTTTCTACATAGGAAAAGAGTAGTTTACTCACCACAGTTACAGTGTTATAATATTCTGTGTTTTTATGTGTACTTACTGTTACCAGTGAGTTTTTTTGCTTTCAGGTGATTAATTCTTGCTGATTAATGTCATTTTTTTCTGTTTGAAGTACTCCCTTTAGCTTTTCTTTTAGGACAGTTCTGGTACTGATGTAATCATTCAACTTTTGTTTGTCTAGGAAAGTATTTCTTTTTCATGTTTGTAGGATATATAGATATATATACATTTCAAATATATACATTTCAGGATATATATACATTTCAAAAGTTGTTTTCCTTCAGCACTTTAAATATGTCATGCCACTGTACCGTGGCCTGTAAAGTTTCCACTGAACAGTCTGCTGCCGGATGTATTGGTGCTCCATTATATGTTATTTGTTGCTTTTCCCTTGCTGCTTTTAGGATCCTTTCTTTATTCTTGATCTTTGAGATGTGATTGATTATTAAACGCCTTGATGTAGTCTTTGCTGGGTTTAATTCTGTTTGATGTTCTCTAACCTTCTTATACTTTGATATTGATATATTTCTCTAATTGGAAAGCTCTGTGTTGTTATCCCTTTGAATAAACTTACCCCTATCTCTTTTACTTCTTTCTTTTTAAGGCCACAAACTCTTAGATTTATACTTTTGTAGCTATCTCTAAATTCCGTAGGTGTGCTTCACTGTTTTTTATTTTTTTCTTTTGTCTTTTCTGACAGTATATTTTCAAAGGGCCTGTTTTAAAGCTCATTAATTTTTTATTCTGCTTGATTAATTCTGCTATTAAAAGACTGCTGATATGTTTATCCATATGCCAATTACATTTTTCAGCTGTAGAATTTCCCCTTAATTCTTTTTAATTATTTCAGCCTCTTTGTTATGTTCATCTAATAGAATTCTCAATTTCTTCTCTTATCTTGCATTTATTTAAGTTTCCTTGACACAGGTATTTTAATTTCTCTGTTTGAAAGGTCACATATCTCTGTGTCTCGAGAATTGGTTCCTGGTAGCTTATCTGTTTCATTTGTTGAGGTCATGTTTTCCTGGATGGTGTTGATACTAGTAGATGTTCTTTAGTATCTGGACATTGATAAAGTTAGATATTTATTGTAGTCCTCACTGTCTAGGCTTGTTTGTACTTGTCCTTCTTGGGAAGGCTTTCTAGATATTTGAAAGGACTTGAATGTTATGGTATTAGTTGTATCTGCTATAGAGGGGACTCTAAGCCCAGTAACACTTTATTTACAAACTTATAGAGGTACTGCCATGATGGTCTTGGACAAGATCGGGGAGAATTCTGGATTACCATGCGAGACTGTTATTCTCTTCCCTTATTTTCTCCCAAACAAACAGAGTCTCTCTCTTTGTCCTGGGCTACTTAAAGCTGGGAGTGGGGTGACAAAAGTACCCCTGTGGCCATCACCAGTATGGCTGTGCTGGTCAGACATGAAGCTAGCACAGCATTGGATCTTACCTACAACCTGCTGTATCCACTCACTGGTTACTGCCTGTGTTCACTTAAGGTCCTGGGGCTCTACAATCAGCAGGTGGCAAAGCCAGCCAGGCTTGTGTTCTTCCCTTCTGGATGACGAGTTCCCCCAGGCCCCTGGTGGATCCATGCGTGCTGTACAGGAGTTAGGGGCTAGAGTTAAAAACCTTAGAAGTCCACTTAGTGTTCTATTGTACATTGACTGAGCTGGCACTCAAACCACAAGACACAGTCCTTCCCACTCTTACCTCCCCTTTCCAAAGGCAGAGTAGCCTCACTTCATGGCCACTGCCATCAAAGGCCACGGGGAGTACTGCTAGACTACAGCTGATGATTCCTTAAGGCCCAACGGCTTTTAAATAAGTTTATGAAGAATGCTGTGTGGCGTGGGACTCACTTTTCAGGGGAGTTGGCTCACCTCCGGTCTAGGGTAGGCTCATGAATGTCATTCAAAAGTCAAGTCCTAGAATTGGGGACCCCAAGAGCCCACTTGGTGCTCCATCCACCTGTGGCTTTATTAGTTCCTAAGGTACAAGACAAAGTCCCATTCACTTTTCCCTCTGCTTTTCTTAAGCAGAAGAGTTTTGCCCTGTAGCCACCACAGCTGGTAAGGTGCTGAGTTTCACCTGTAGCCAGCAAGTCTCAGAGGCTCACCTAAGACCCTCAACATAGTAATTGGGTATTGGTGCTGAATATTCAGGACCTAAGTACTCTTCAATTAACAGGTGATGAATGCTTCCAGGACTGGGTCCTTACCTTCAAGTCAGTAGGTTCCTTTCTGGCCAAGATGTGTCTAGAAATGTCATCTGGAAACTAAGACCTGGAAGAAGGGCCTCATCATTGTGGCTGGTGCCCTCAAGACAAAGTCCTCTCCGCTTTTCCCACACCTCTCCTCAGGTGGAAGTTAAGGGTCTCTTTTGGAACCACAATTTTTGCAGTCTGGGCTTAGAGGAGAGGTGATACCAGCACTCCCTTAGTCACTCCATCTGCTATCCCAGCAGGTACTATGCCCCACGGGTTTATTGTTTCTAGGCCCAGTTCAGCACTAGGACTTGCCTAAGAGTTGCAGTCCTTATGGCCTAGACTGCCTTTCAAGGTTATTTAGAGACTCAGAACATTTTAGCCCTTGGTGGTGAGGTTAGTGGGAACTGAGTTCAGACTGCTAGGATTGGCCTTTTTCCTTTGTCTAGTGCTGGTTTAGATGTTCCCTCTCCTAGGCGGGTGTCCCCTGAGTTTTGTTCAGTTCTCCTTTCTACTACAACAGTGAGTTCAGTCCTTCACGATTGCTATTCTCTCCCTCCTTTAATGCTCAGAGATAATCTCCGCACCATGCTGTTGCTGCAGAGAGGTGGGAGAAGGGTGATGTTGGCTGAGACTTTTTAAAAAAATCACTTCAGTGCCTCTTTCAGTGATAGAAGTTAACACCAGGTACTATGAGTGCTCACCTGATTTTTAGTTTTATGAAGGTGCTTTTTCTGTTTAGATAGTTGTTAAATTGATGTCCCTTTTGGGGGAGGGGGACATCAATTGTCTCTTGTTAACTTCTATCACTGAAAGAGGCACTGAAGTGATAGTAGTAGAATCTTCTATTTCACTATCATGCTTTGCCTCTCTCTCACCTTTATCTATTTCTTAAACATTTTCATTGCCCCAAAAGGACACTGTACTCATCAAGCAGTCATCCCAGCCCCTGGCAACCACTAATCTGCTTTCTGTCTGTATGAATTTACTTATATTCTTGATATTTCATATAAATTAAATCATACAATATGTAACATCTTTGGACTTGCATCTTTCACTAGGTGTAATGTTTTTGATGTTCATTCTTATTGTAGCAAGTATCAGTAATTAATACCTTTTTACAGCTGAATAATACTGTGATTTTGATTTCCATTTCCTTAATGACTAAATATTGAGTATCTTTTGATGTGCTTTCTGATCATTGTATGCTTAATTTGGAGAAATATGTATTCAAGTACTTTGCCTGTTTAAAAATATATTTGTTTTCTTAAATTTTGGAAAAATATACATAATATAAAATTAGGAACTAATAAAGCCACAGGTGGATGGAGCACCAAGTGGGCTCTTGAACCATTTTAATCATTTTTAAGTATACGGTTTAGTGGCATTAAGGACATGTACACTGTTTGCCACCATCATCTTCATTCTTCTTCAAAACTTTTTAATCTTGTACATCTGAAACTCTATACCCATTAAATAATAGCTACCCACTTTCCCCACCTCCTTCCAGACCCTAAGAGCCACCATTCTACTTTCTGTTTCTGTGAATATGATGGCTATAGATACCTCATGTGAGTGGAATCATGCAATTTTTGTCCTTTGGTGACTGGCTTATTTCTCTTAGCATAATGCCTTCAAGGTTCATTCATGTTATAGCATGTATCAGACTGTCTTTCCTCTTTAAGATCAAATAATATTTCATCATGTATTAGTACAATCACAATGTTTTGCAACTGTTACCTTTATCCAGTTCTTACATACATCATATTTTGTCATTTATTAATTGATGGATGCATGAGTTGCTTCTAACGTTCTGCTGTTGTAAATAATACTGCTAAGAATATGGCTTACAAATATCTTTTTGAGTATGTCTTTTCATATGCTTATTAAATATTTCTTTATCTTCCTTGGAGAAATGTCTATTCAAATATTTTGCTCATTTTATTGTTTGGGCTTTTCTTTTTGCTGTTGAATTGTAAAAATTCTATATATCTTCTAAATACAAGGCTCATATCAGATATATGATTTGTGAGTATTTTCTGCCATTCTGTGTGTTGTCTTTATTGATGGTATCCTTTAAAACACAAAAGTAGCCATCTTGATGGTTTAATTTATCTATTTTTTGTAATTTTGTTGCTTATATTTTTGGTGCCATATCTATGAATCCATTGCCATATGGAACATCACAATGATTTTTTTTTTTTACCAGCATAGGCAAAGGAATATATGAATGACTAATATAGCTACAAAATGTTTTAAATCATTATGGCAAGTTTTATTATTCTTATAGGCAGAGTGCTTTTAGGAATATATTCCCCTCTAGGGATGATAATTCTCTGCTAGGTTGAAGACTAGTTTAGTTATTTCACATTAATTTTTTGTTACTGACATTATACATTTGACAAGCCAAAGTACAACGCAATGAAAAATTAAATAGAGTGAATAATAGATGCCTATTGTATTCACTGTTATAGTTTCTCTGGTGGTTTATGAAGTTTTTAAATAATTCTTAAGAGTTTCTGTGTTTCTTAAAGTTGACAGGATAATATTTTGCTGTCTATGACTTTTATATGATGATGTGATATGTAAAAGTAATTTTTCTTTTTTAAGGCCACATTATCTACCTAATAATAAACAACATGTCACATCTGATGAATTATTTTAATGTAGTAATGTCTAAATTCAATTTATAAAACATGGAAATTAAAAATTTGTTACTATTTTTTCATTTATAGTTTATTGGGAAAAGTTCAGTTTTAAAACTAGTAAATATACTTATTAAAATTCAAAGAGCAGAACTGAAGAAGATAGAGATACAAAAAAAAAACCCCTTTAAAAAATCAACAAATCTAGGAGCTGACTTTTTGAAAAGATCAACAAAATATACTGCTAGCCAGACTAATAGAAAAGAGAGAAGAATCAAATAGATGCAATAAAAAACGATAAAGGGGACATCACCATGATTCCACAGGAATGCAAACTACCATCAGAGATTACTACAAACAACTCTATGCACAAAACCCAGTAAATCTGGAAGAAATGGATAAATTCCTGGACACTTGCATCCTCCCAAGCCTAAACCAGGAAGAAGTTGAAACCCTGAATAGACCAATAACAAGGGCTGAAGTTGAGGCAGCAATTAATAGCCTACCAACTAAAAAAAGCCCAGGTCCAGACAGATTTACAACTGAATTCTACCAGATGTACAAAGAGGAGCTGGTACCGTTCCTTCTGAAACTATTCCAAACAACACAAAAAGAGGGAATCCTCCCCAACTCATTTTATGAGACCAACATTATCCTAATACCAAAACTGGGCAGAGACACAAGTGAAAAAGAAAACTTCAGGCCAATATCCATGATAAACATTGATGCAAAATCTTCAATAAAATACTGGCAAACAGAATGCAACAGCAAATCAAAAAGCTTATTCATCATGATCAAGTAGGCTTCATCCCAGTGATGCAAGGCTGGTTCAATACATGAAACTCTATAAACATAATCCATCACATAAACAGAACCAAAGACAAAGATCACATGATTATCTCAATAGATGCAGAAAAGGCCTTCAACAAAATTCAACAGCCCTTTATGCTAAAAACCCTCAATAACCTAGGTATTGATGGAACATATCACAAAATAATAAAAGCTATTTATGACAAACCCACAGCCAATATCATACTGAACGGGCAAAAACTGGAAGCATTCCCTTTGAAATCTGACACAAGACAAGGATGCCTTCTCTCATCACTCTTATTCAATATAGTATTGGAAGTTCTAGTCAGAGCAATCAGTCAAGAAAAAGAAATAAAGAGTATTCAATTAGGAACAGAGAAAGCCAAATTGTCTCTATTTGCAGATGACATGATTGTTTATTTAGAAAACCCCATCGTCTTAGCCCAAAATCTCCTGAAACTGCTAAGCAAAATTTCAGCAAAGTCTCAGGATATAAAATCAACGTGCAGAAATCAGAAGTATTTCTATACACCAATAACAGACAGAGAGCCAAATCAAAAGTGAACTCCCATTCACAATTGCTACAAAGAGAATAAAATACCTAGGAATACAAATAACAAAGAATGTAAAGGACCTCTTCAAGGAGAACTACAAACCACTGCTCAATGAAATAAGAGAGGACACAGACAGATGGAAAAACATTCCATGTTCATGATTGGGAAGAATCAACATCGTGAAAATGGCCATATTGCTCAAAGCAATTTATAGATTCAATGCTATCCCCATCAAGCTTCCAATGACCTTCACAGAATTGGAAAAAACTACTTGAAACATCATATGGAACCAACAGAGAGCCCACATAGCCTAAGCAATCCTAAGCAAAAAGAAGGAAGCTGGAGGCATCATGCTGCCTGACTTCAAACTATACTACAAGGCTACAGTAATCAAAACAGCATGGTACTGGTACTGAAACAGAGATATAGACCAATGGAACAGAACAGAGGCCTCAGAAGCAACACCACACATCTACAATCATCTGATCTTTGACAAACATGATAAAAACAAGCAATGGGGAAAGGATTCCCTGTTTAATAAATGATGTTGGCAAAACTGGCTAGCAATGTGCAGGGAGCAGAAACTGGACCCATTCCTGACACCTTACACTAAAATTAACTCCAGATAGATTAAAGATCTAAACATAAGATCTAATACCATTAAACCCTAGAAGAAAACCTAGGCAAAACCATTCAGGACATAGGCATAGACAAAGACTTTATGGCTAAAATGCCAAAAGCAATGGCAACAAAAGCCAAAATGGACAAATGGGACCTAATTTAACTCCAGAGCTTCTGTACAGCAAAGAAAACAATCATTAGAGTCAACCGGCAACCAACAGAATCGGAAAAATTGTTTGCAATCTACCCATCTGACAAAGGGCTAATATCCAGAAGCTACAAAGAACAAAAACAGATTTACAAGAAAAAAACAAACAAGCCCATTCAAAAATGGGCAAAGGATATGAACATACACTTAACAAAAGAAGACATATGAGGCCAACAAACATATGAAAAATGCTCATCATCACTGGTTATTAGAGAAATGGAAATCAAAATCATATTGATTTACCATTTCATACCAATTAGAATGGCAATCATTAAAAAATCTGGAGACAACAGATGCTGGAGAGGATGTGGAGAAATAGGAACACTTTTACATGGTTGGTGAGAGTGCAAATTAGTGCATCCATTGTGGAATACAGTGTGGCAATTCCTCAAGGACCTAGAAATAGAAATTCCATTTGACCCAGCAATCCCATTATGGGGTATATACCCAATGAATTATAAATTGTTCTATTATAAAGACACATGCACACATATGTTCATTGCGGCACTGTTTACAATAGCAAAGACCTGGAACCAACCCAAATGTCCATCAGCAATAGACTGGATAAAGCATGGAATACTATGCAGCCATAAAAAATGATGAGTTCATGTCCTTCATAGGGACACGGATGAATCTGGAAAACCATCATTCTCAGCAAACTGAGAACACAAGAACACAAAAACACAAGAACAGAAAATCAAACACTGCATGGTATCACTCATAGGTGGGTGTTGAACAATTAGAACACGTGGACACAGAGAGGGGAGCATCACACACTGCAGTCAGTTGGGGGGACCAGGGGAGGGACTGCGGGGGGTGGGGAGGGATAACGTGGGGAGAAATACCAGATATAGGTGATGGGGGGAGGAAGGCAGCAAACCACCTTGCCATGTGTGTACCTATGCAACAATCCTGCATGATCTGCACATGTACCCCAGAACCTAAAGTGCAATTAAAAAAAATTCAAAGTCCGTGCCAATATTAAGGGGAAGTAGGAAATAAATTTATATTTGAATGGCAAGGCTTTAAACATACCACAGCATGTGTATCATTTTAAAAATTGAACCTAATAAAACAAATCTAACATTGTAAATTATTATTGTATTATGGCTAGTCAGTTATATAATTAACTATTAAAATGTTTTATTATTAAAACTTTATAATGTTCAGGAAGATTCTCTGATTAAAAACTTGGCTTTGGATATGTATATATAATATTTATTTGTATGTGTATATGTATACTGTATTTATATGTGTATGTAATCTTTGTGGCTATGGAAAAGTATAACAGTGTTAAATCTTTGAGCTTTGGAATCATACCTCTTGAGTCTATATGCTGCCAATGCCACTGTAACCTTGGATAATTATTTAACTTTTAATTTAATTTAATTTTTTGAGATAGAGTCTTACTCTGTCGCCTAGGAGTGGAGGTTGTGTGACCTTGGCTCACTGCAACCTCAGCCTCCTGGGTTCAAGGAATTCTCCTACCTCAGCCTCCCTAGTAGCTGGGACTACAGGGGCGTGACACCACACCCATCTAATTTTTGTATTTTTAGTAGAGACGGGGTTTCTCCATGTTAGCCAGGCTGGTCCCGAACTCCTGACCTCAGGTAATCTACATGCCTTGGCTTCCCAAAGTGCTGGGATTATAGATGTGAGCCACCACTCCTGGCCTATTTAACTTTTGAGTGTCTTAGTTTTCTCATCTGCAAAATACAGCTAGTTTAATTTATGGTATAATAGTAAGTCTTAAATGTGGTACTTTATATGTTAAATAACATATGTTCCTGGCAAATGTAACTCCCTAATCCTAGCTATGATTGTGGTATAATTATTACCATTCATAACATCAATAAGTTTAGTATTTTGATAAAAATATATGATTCAAACTTTTATGGCAGTATTATTTTTGTCGTTTTATTTCCAATCTGACTTTTAAACTGTAGTTTAATGTATACTTGTATTAAATGATCAAATCTGGGTAATTGAGATATCTATAACTTCAGACATTTATCATTTCTTTGCGTTGTGAACATTCCAAGTCTACTCTTCAGGATATTTTGATATAACAATAAATAATT